AGTTCTTTTTTTTTTTTTAAAATACGAGGTTATATTGAAGAAGTTGTAAACATTATTGTAGAGTCAGTTTTGTAGAATAGAATGTAAAAAAAATGATATTCTTTATCAAACATATATGTACATCATACTGTAAAATATTATTCACATGATGGTGGTGTGCATGTATAAATTATCGACATGTATAAATTTGAATTCATCAGTTATATCTTTGTTATTTGCATAAAAAATAGAATTTCACTTATTTGATATTGATATTTCCTTCATGTTCTTAATATTATTATTTATATTTTCTGTATTTGTATTTTCTATTTCATATTATTTTTAATTTGTAAATTGCATTCTATTTTTATTTAACTTAATAATTTTCATATATATATATTAACAAAGATATAAATGATGATATAGTATGATGTGTATAATATAAAAATGTACATATATTTTGTATATATACATATATATTCCAATATTTGTCATGTTCAAGATACTGTTTACAGATTATATATTAACAGTAAGAAACTTTATATTGATAATGTAGAGACAAAAGTTCTTTTGATACTATTAAAAAAGTTGTATTTCTATTACATTCTAATTATAAGAACATTGTTCTCTAATTTGATCAAGATAGAGTCAAAGTAAAGTAAAAGATTTAAATCAATTATAATTTAATTTTGAGTCTTATTCCAAAAAAAAGTATTATTAATATTTTTTGCAAAAATTAATTAGAATTTCATTTTATATTATGTACAAAAATTTCTTCACTTTGTTATTCATATTTTTTTGCTATTCAACTTTTAATTTAGATGATTGGAGATGTATTACTATTATTTTCTTTATTTTGAGAAATATTTTATATTACATATAATTTGAATACTGTTGTTATTGAAAGCACTTTGATTCATTACACCAAATAAATGTTTATTATCTGTGATAGAAAGTGTTTTGAAGCTGTCTATAATTAAAAAATTTTACAGAAGTCAACTGAAGAAATATTATTAAAATAAAGAAACCCCAATTCATATTCTTTAATATATAAGCAAAAAAATTATAATATTAAATTGAAATCATATTAATGAAAACAAAAAAAAATTAAATAAAATCATATTAATGAAAACAAAAATAATTTTTCAAATATTAATTTTAATGGACAATACGTGCAATAAATAATTTTACATATAAAATCTGTATTTCAAAATATAAGTAAGCATAATTAAAAAATGAATACATGCAAAAATAATAAAAAATATTTACATAATGTTTAAATGAAAGATTTGATGTAAACTGTTGAAACATTCGAATGAATTTTTAAATAATAATATTTTTAAATCATTAAATTTTTGTTTAAAATATTTAAAACATTTAAAACAGTTTAACTGAAAAGTTTCAATCTCAAATTCTTAAATCAAACTGCTCAAATCAAATATGTTAGGATCGAATGTTTCAAAGTTTTGAATAAGTATAAACCACACATACCGAATATATACATATTTAAAAATGTCTGCGTAATGAATAATCTTCAAGTTATAATGTATGAATAATTGCGTGCATATATAAAACGACGAGTAGTACTCGTCGTATATCGATTTTCAAGCAAACAGTATTAGTCTCGTTATTGTTGCTTACTTATGAATATCGTAGTAAACAAGTAGAAAACGTTATAGATACACGTGACGGGCACAATAAGAATTATGTAAACTTTTGTAAAAAAAAAAAAAAAAAAAAAAAAAAAGATGAAGAAGAAGAAGAAAACCTTTGGAATAGTAGACATTATTTTTATAGTCTCTGTAAATTATTAAGCTCCTTTTGTTCAACATATTGGGGGACACAAGGAGCATTCATAAATCAATTCCTTGCAAATTATTTTTCTTCACTCCAATAATGATAGAATCAGAGCATATTTCGTATACTACACTTTGTTATGGAATAAAATGCATCACAAAAAATTTCCGAGGAAATTCCGAGGCTTTGTGGAAAATTAAAAGGTTAAACATAAAATAATTTCTCAATAATAATATTTTTGTAGGAAAAGATTCTGGAACAGAAATTTTTATATAAAAAATATTTTTATTATATTTTTTAAATCGATAAATTCATTAAATTTCTCTATATCTTTAATTAAAAATATTATGCTTGATTGTGTACTTAATTATTATATATATATATATTTTAATCTAATACCATATTTTGTATTGAATTTGAGGTTACGTTAAACTTATAATAAAATTTATTAAGATTATATATAATGCGATTGCTCAGTAAAATAAACAAATTTCATTTTATGGATGTATAAAGTATAATGAAATAAATTTCTTTCGAGAATCTATTTCCAAAGATTATAAAATGTAAAGTATAACAGACGGTAATAAATGTACGAATGTCGAAAAAAAAAAAATTTGAAAGAGACTGAGTAACCGCGCATGTTATTTTTTATAGCATATTTATTGAAAGGTGAACGGTAATTTTTTATGAGGAAAAAAATCATTTTAATGGATTATATATTACTTTCTGGTACGATTATTCGTTTTGGTAATTGCTCAAAATTTTTAATCGAAAAAATTAATTATCAAATAAATTTTTCTATAATTTTTTAGTATTTGTTAATTGTGATACTTTTGAACTATTTTTCATGCTGAAATTTATATAAATAGAAAACAAATACGTTTTGTTTAACGTTTTAGTTACAATAGAGAAAAAAGAAAAAAATAAATGGTTGAGAATATGAACAATGTTGTTTTTGTTTTTTATAATATTTTTCAGAAATTTAAATGATGATTATTTATTAAAAATGTATTTAAGAGATTGAAATATTTAAAATTTATCGAAATTTTAAAAACTATCTGTTATCTACTATCGATAATTAAATACAATTCATTAAATAGCTTTCATGTTTAAAGAATAACCTATAGATAGCAGCACATGTCACTTTCATTTTTCAAAATAAAAATGAATCTATATACATTCTATAATATATTGTAAATACAATATATTACATATATTAAATTTGACTTTCATAAAATATTAAAAAATATGTATAAAAAGTTACAAACTATTTTAAAATTTGTTAAAATTTTACAAATATATAATATATACAAATATATATTTATAATTTTATAATTTTCTTTATAAGATATATAAAAATAATAAATAGATATATAAATTAGCATACATTTAAAAAGATAAATATAAAAAAAAATACGTATAGAATTTAAAAATATTCGTTGTGCGATATTGATAAATTGATCATCATATTATATAAGATGAATTTATTTATATTTTACTTATAATAACATAAAAAATTATCTTTCAAAATATTTTCAATTTTAAATTTGAATTTTTTTTACTTACAACAATTTATTTAATTCTTAATTTATATAAAATTTGTATTTTATTTTTAATTATAAATATAATTAAAATATAATAATAAAATGTATGAAACATAAAAAACAAAAATGACTACTATTACTATTATTATTACTATTTTGTCGAATAACAAATATTTGCCAGTATCATTTATTGATATTGATTATTATATAAATTAAAATTATTATATAAATTGATTATTATATAAATTAAAAATTTAATATTTTGAATCTGAATAATTAATATTATTTAAAGTTATAAAATAAACAAGATACAAAGAAGATTTGAAAGAAAATCTTATTCAGTCCAAAAGGCAATAAAATTTAAAAATTTTTTTACAAAACAAAACAAAAAACAAAGGACATCAAAAAAATCACTGAAGAATTTGAAAAATATATGTATATATATTTTAGTTATAAATTGAGCTGTTTATTTTTATTTTTAAAATCTTTTATTGACGTTTATTGTAAATTTGTTTATTAAATACATCTTATACATTTTTTAATAATAACAAAATTTTTTTATAGTAATATTTAGAATCTAAATCAACCAATGACAGCATTGTTAATGACGTTATAATAATATTCGCAAATTAACTATTTTTTGAAAATGAAATTAATACTTTTTTTTAAAGTATTAATATACATATAATTTATATTTTTTATATTTACGATGAAAGTTTTTTCATCAAAAAATTTGAATTGTGAAAGATATAATAGATATAATATAAAGTGTTTTAATGTATTATTTATTTTATTAAACTTTATAAAGTATTATTGAATTGTTTTCCTAATAAAATGTGTTATATATTAAATAAATTTTTATAAAAAACATAAAAAAAAACATTTTAAAATATAAAATACAAAGCATCTTTTTAATGTTACTTTCAGAAATGAATTGTATTTCAATGAAAACACTGTCTGAATGTAAATTGTCATTGTGAATATAGTTAACTGAACATATATATATATATATATATATATATATATATATATATCAAATGCAAAAAATATCAGAAAGTATTTTTAAATTTGTTTCTTATATTGTTACAACTATTTTTTATTCTAAAACACTTGCCATATTACACACTTTTGTCATTCGAATCACATAACCTCACTAAATTAATATTATAACAAAAAATATTATCGACACAACTAAATAGTACATATAATATCGATCCATTCAATCGATTACACAAGTGAAACATAAGTATTGACTTGTTCTCGATTGATTTCGAAAAAAATAAATGGCGAAACGATTTTTAGTGAACTTCATTAAATTAACATTATAACAGAAAACATCATCGATACAACTAAATAGTACGTATAGTATCGATTTATTTAATCGATTACTCGCAAGTAAAATAAGTACAAGTATGACTCGTTCTCGATTGATTTCGAGAAAAATAAGTAGCGAAACGGTTTTTAGTGAATTTTTCGCGAGAATGCTGTTGGTGTTATTTGTCAAGCGTGACCGAAGGAAAGAGCAGCGGTTTCGAATGAGAAAATTTATGGGTCGCAATGTGTCGACGGAAACCTTAAATTTTAACGTCCCTGTCGCGTACTCGGTTGCGTCCTGCCTTGCCTGTTAAGAACCTTGCGAAGGGGGATTACGAGTTGACTGCCACGAAGCGAACATGGAACATCAAGGGGTGGTTCCACTCTCTCCACGGTGGGGGAGAATCAGAAGTATGGTGGTGGTTCTATGGTAGGGAGATGTGTAGACGGTGCCACAGGAAAAGGTGTAGGGAAGAGGGTAGGTTATGGGGTATAACGCGACGAAGAACATCCGAATAAAATAATAATAAACCACGGATACGTTTCAGCGCACGTTGCTCCTTCTTCCTTCCTGATGCTTTGCTTGTGTCTCTTCCTGAATATTTTTCTTTTTGTGTTGCTCGAAATAAATAAATCGGATTTAACCGTTTGAGTCAAAGTTTGAGCATAATAAATAAAGGTTTGTTCAATTTTTTATTTGTTTCTTAAATTATTTGCTATAAATATTTATTTTTTATCTAGTAATTTGATGTGTTCATTTTTCTGTCATTTCTTTTCTATCATTTCATTTATTTTCTTATTTTTTCTTATTCTCATTCTTTTTCATGTTAGCAGATATATGAATAGTTTATGCAAGATAAATCTATTTAAAATGATTATTTTTCTTTTAATCTTTTTTATGAAAATAATATATATAATAAAAAAATATTTATTTATTTAATAAATATTTATTTATAATAATAAATAAAAAAATATTTATTTATTTAACAGAGAAATATTTTTAGAATTTTTGAGTATGTAAAATAATAGATTAAATTTCTTCTTATCAATTCTTATGTCTTTGCTAATGAAATCTTTTCTATACAAAATGTCGTTATCTTTATTTATTCATAAAAAAATTATCAAGTTAATTTGAAAATTTTATGTATTTTGGCTATTTGGTAAATGCAAGACCACCAATAGACTGATTATGTAAATGAATGCTACATTTTAAGGCTTGCATGTCATGGATCGATATAATTTTCTGTGATTTAGATCGTTACAAAAAAACGTGGATTCCGAGTACTTGGATTAAGAAGATTAATTACATTGCGAAATAATAATATATATCTTCAAACAGTTTATAAATGAAATCCATAACAAGAATTAAAAACAAACTTATTAGCATAATTTATTTTTAGATATATTTAACTTATTACAATTTAATTATGTAGAAAATACTTTAGCAATTAATAATAAAAGAAAGATAAAAGAAAATGTTAAGGAATTCATAAATTCATAAAATCTTAAGAAATAAGAAGAATTTTTTCAGAAAGTTATCCATTATTTTATTGATGAATTGAATCAAACAATTGATCTGGCTTGAAAGTTTCCAAGATTTCTGAATGGTTGAATTGTTGTGAGCCATAGCGATCATCCAATAGATTCGCAGATCATATATTTATCGTGACTGTACGAAAAGCTCATCGAGATATTTCTTCTTAGAGACAAATCAATGGGGCTGTCGAGTCGGCGGTCGCTGTTTGATGTCAAGAAAGAGCTCGACCTGCTCAGATTCAGCTATCTCGATGTCGTCGCCGACAACGGCATCCTACTGCGATAACGCCATTATGCGAATTCGAGATTTGCATATTTCAGAAAGTGCTGCACAGGAAAGCATAAACAACTCTGGTCGCTCTGCGCAACGAGAGCGTTGTAGCTTCCTCGTCAGAAGAGTTACACGCATGGAAGATTTACGGAGAATCCAACGGTTTTCCTTTTCCCTTCCTCCACCTTTTTTTCACTTTTTTCTCCCTTCGTTTTTTTGCTAACTTTGTTATTTTTTTTCTTTGTTTTTATTATTTTTTTTTTTTTTAGGAAACCTCTTCTTACACTTTGTATTCAGACATAAATGCATGGTGACGCGAAATGGAAATTGGTTGAATACCTTCAGATGATCATTTCGGTATGGAGGACGAAAGAACCGGTCCAACAATTTTGTTAAACTGAAACTTGCGGTTTTCGGATTGAATCCTAACTAATATTTGGATAACCATCTTTCGACATATTAATTGATGCATCTTGAAATAGGTAGAAGATTGTTCGTACATATGATTTTGTTATTTAGTATAAGATCTGATATTTCAATAATTTCATAATGTGAAGTATATGGATTATTGAAGTATAAAAAATGTTGTTTCTTTTTTTTCTTATCTTTCACATATTTAGTATTAACTTGTTTAAGAATTTTATAATATAAATATTTAATTCAGATTAATGCTGATTTTAATTTAATCATGAAACAATATGAATTTAAGATAAGAATACTATTTAAGGTGTGAATGAATATCAATTTAAGATAAGATACATTTTTCACTTATATTATATATTTTATATATTATTATATTATTATTTTATTTTATCATGAAAATTTATTAATTTATTATAGATTTATTATAAATGTCTCACTTCTATTCACCAGTGCTGACAACCAAGCAAAACAGTAAGCATGAGACCACCAACAGATAAGAGTTGGTCGGGTAGATCGCGTTTTCCACGCATTTTAATGTGAATAGTCGCTTATCAGGACAGCATAAAGCGTTTCAATGCTAGTTTTACCGCGTAAGTGGTGGAACGCGCGAAAACCGCGCGTCACTTACATAAGTAATATAATTGATTCGTTACAAGCGCTCCTACACGGCAGATAAGTTTATCTGCAACACGCATCGACGAAACCGGTTAGATAACGAGCACTGCTACATCATATAATAAGCTTTAATTATTCGGATAATGAGGCTCGCTATCCTCTTCTAATGACAAATAGCACCGCTTCAGCCATAAGCCACTGCGCACTACCATGAAATCTGCATGGAACTTTCAAACGAAAAATAACATTGATTTTCGAGCTTTTCTCGAATCTTTTATATTATGATTTAATCTACTTTGCTATTATCCATTATATTAGTTATTTTAATATATATTATGTTTATCTTAAAGAAATATCCGGAAAAATATTCTATATTTTATATCTTTATAAGATGATTAAGAAAATTGAGAGAAAATATGAAGTGACATAAATATAATTTAATCTTAAATTTCCACGTTCAAAAACAAATATCTAATGATATAGGAATTGCAAAAAACATATAGTCTATAATTTTAAATTGTAAGTTTTATATTATTTTATTTCTTATTCTGTTTCAGTTGTTAATTAATTCAAAGAATCCTGAACAACGTATTAAAGTCATTGAACAAAAGCTGAGAAATCAATTGTTCTTGGACCTAAATAACAAAACTCCAACATTAATATCTAATATCTTAACAAGCAACCATTTTAATAAACTCGTCACACTGCACGAGCCAAGAGCTAAGACGGAGGACCTTTCCAACTTGAATTTCAATTTTCACGCGATAGTCCATAAAGCATCCGAAAAAGAAGGAACGCCGAGATCGGTTAAGGAATCGCTGGGAAAGATCTTATGGAACGAAAAACGCGTTTGCCGTCGAATTCCAGCGATCAAGCGAAAAGAAAGGAAGCCGGATGATATACCGGTGGATCCACGTTCCACGCCGGATATTTACGTGTAGCCCGATGGCCGAACTGCTGTCGAACATCGGGTTTTACAGCGTCGAGCAACGGCGTATCGTGGACATCATCGAGAGCCAAGGATCCGGCGACTGGTTACACGCAAGTAGATGGATGAAGGTGGCTGGAACAAGGTGGCGGCTGATGGGTGTAAATTCGAGATACGATCTTCTCTCTTCTGTGTCCCTTTCCAAACGGATTTACCGACTGCTGCGCATTCTGCCTGCTTGGTTTTACTTGGTTTTTAATTATCCCCAGGGTTTCCGAGACAAAGGCGTCGCCGCCGTTGTTAGCCAGGTAAACGTTGCTTTATTCCATCTTCACTGGAAAACGAGGAAAATCAGAAAAGTCTGACGAATCTTTTCGAGCTTTTTTTTTTTTTTTTTTTTTAGATATGATGCATTAGAGAAGTTGAAGAAGAATTTTAGGAATGAATCGATTCAATGTGTAAATGTGTTTTCTGAATTATTTGAAAGAAATTCGAAAACGATGAAAAATGGAGAAGAAGGTAAGTGGTAAGGAGATGAGAATCAACGGTTGTGTTTTAAGTTATATAACTTGATTAGAGGTATTGAATGTTTAGAAAAGATGAGGAATTTCAGAAGAGATATACAGTATATGATAGTATTATGAAATATTAATATTGTTTATCGATTCGTCGGCAGCAACAATAATATAAGTTTAATCGTTGGATTAGATACATGCATCAGTTTTAACAAAATTGTTTACGATTAAAATTCTGCCATGAAATTGGCGATGATTCTCATAGAATTACGTTAGAGCGTTAATAAAAGATGTCTCCTGGCTGGCCGCATTATCATTTTAATTGCTTCGTTTTGTGTTGAACCTTTTTGCCAGATCCTTATCTCCGCGTCGGGACAAATTAGCACCCCGACTGTGTGTTCGGTTGAAACCTGTTCGCTGGAATCTGCAAATTACCTTTTCTGCCGCCTCGATATAAAGGACGCCGGACATTCGGAATGGTGCGAGCGAGCCTTTTACGCCAGCGATCTTGCACGAGTGTTGCAAGTACAAATGAGCGAATTTACGTTTCGACTGTTGCTGTCGATGCATGTTAAGGAAGTAGCAATACATTTTGCAATTGATAATCTTGAACGTATATATTATTAGATTTTTCTTGCTTTTATTGATGGAAAAGTTTTATAATCGAGACTCGAATATTATCGAATCTTTTTAATGAAATAGAATTTTCTTGATAAAGAATTATGTACAAGAATATAATCTTTAAAGTTTCTTTTCTCTTTCTTCTTTTTCATAATCGAGCAACATCTAGACATAGATTGACTTTTTCACTGTTTCAGGAGTCGAAAAACACGACTAAAGTGACGAATGGCAAATCTTTTGAGAACGATGATCTTTTTAGCCAAGAGAAAAGATATAAAAACATTGTTATTCGCACGATCAATGTATCAGTTGACGCACTTTCCAACAGTATTCATGCTTCCAATATTTTTATTAAAGCGAAGATTTTGACATAGAATCAATCCATGGCAGAAAATATTTATAATGTCATCTTATTTAAATTGGGCGTTTTCTTAGTCACTTTAGATGAACCAGTTTTTTTCTTAATGTAATTATTATGGCACTTATTTTTCTTCAATTATAATATCCTTTTATTTGTTTTTGATTATAAGATACAGAAACACAAAAAGAAACTATTGAACAAGATTGATTAATGATATTCTTGAAGTATCCATTTCAAGACAAACTCTTAATGTTGTAAACAACAGCTTTATTATAGTTGTATGCTATTTATAACACTTAAACCGAACAGACTTAGGATTTGTCTCTCTTTCTTTTTATCTTGTTCACTGTGAATCTAGTTTAGCAAGATTATACCGAAGGATGGTTCTATGCAATACCAAAAGGATTCCATTCACTAGGAGAACTAGGAAAATCCCAGAGATAAGCTTATTGCGACAATATTTGTCGTAGTTTCCCATTCAGGCAGAGAACAAGTTTGAAGAGATTATCTATTAATTATAGATCCCTGTAAATCCTGTTTTTCGCGTGACCAAGTTTCCTTCCCTTTGAGTGATTCGTTTATCTCGATAAAAGATAATTGGGAAAAAGATAAAAGGTAGCCATGGTTGAGCATATTGGAGAAGATCTAAGAAACATCTAATATTCATTGAATGATAGTTAGAATCAGCTGAACTCGATGAATTCTAAGAAGTTTTCAACAACGACGAGCAGCGGAGACACTGATTCCCTGACGGTGGTTAATTACGACGTTCGCTCGTTAATTCACCGGAGTTGATTCGCGATAGCGACAAGGAAAGAAAAGTGGGAGACGACAAACAACTCCTACGAGGAATAACTTCTCATTTCCTACTTACTGTCAATTATTTGGTTAGAGAGCCAATTAACTCGGCTCTCCTCGCGAGCCGTAGCGACGACGATGCTCGATCAACGAATCGAAGAACGTCTCCTATTCTGCTTACGACTTAATTAATGCGAGCCTCGTCGTTTCATTGTTCTCGATATTTGCATGGAATCCCCGGCCCCTGTTACTAAATTATACGCCATATCTGTTTAACCATGCCGATGCATACTGTACGTGCAATATTCTATTGTTCGAACCACTGCAGCATTAGATGCGTTTATTAAAATTTCGTCTGCTCGTGCTTTTAGCAGCAACCTCGATTTGTGAAGTGTCCTTTAGTCTCCAATTTTTCTGATGCTTTTTAACAATTTTAATTGAATATCGTATTCTTTTTTTTTTTTAGGTTGAACTGAAGATTACGATCTTTACCAGAGTGAGATATATTATTTATCGGAATCGAATAATCATGTTTACTATTCTTGTAATTTCCTATAATTTCGAAATAGAAGAATTCGAAATTATATATAACTATCAGTACAATCCTATACTATATTTGTACTCATGAAAGTAAGTAAATATAGAGTTTAAATAATCAAAAACATAATTTATTAAACATTGAATATATATCTCAAACAATTTAATTAAATGTTCTTGATTTTTGCATAGCAGAAAATGACAAAAAGAAAATATATTTAATTATCAAAAATTATTTTTAATTATAATAAATATGATAGAGTAATATATTATTTACTTCATGTTCTTTTAGGTGAGTATTACTGCAACAAATTTTCAATATTTCTAAAATTAATTTATAATCATTTCTATAAACATATAAATTATCTCTAAACTTAAATAAATATTTTTTTTTAGATTTTATTTTAATTCTCCTGCCATCAAGAAAAAACTATTATCTGCTTTTGTGTGAAAAGCACGATCTCTGAATGGCCAATTGACTGTTTCACGCAGAAAGATAATAATTACAATTGTCCAAATGAATTAACATCAGGATACGATTCAAGTACTGTGTTGGTAAATAAATTCAGTCGAAATATTTGATCGGTTCCTCAATACGGACCACTCGCGTTACAGACAACTCGCGTGCCCATGATAACGAACGCGAGGAATCGGGGAAAGGAAAACCATTCGTTTAACCGGCCGTTCCTCATCGTTCTTTCGTACAGTGTTGTTGTCAATCGTCGAAACGAATTTTCGACAGAGGACGCAAAGAGGACCGATGTCGGGCCCCCTGCTGGGGTATCGGTTACGCTTAAACCGCGTTTAGGGCTCTCGAATGCCGGCTTTTTGAGACCGTGACAGCAACCCGATTGTTGTAGTGATGGATTGAAGAAGCAACGAATCATCGAGTTCTTTTTGTTTTTAACCGTTAGTGGAATGTGGGAAATGATCGTTTATGGATAGTACAAGATGCTGAAAGAAGGGAAAGATATAGAATGCGTATCTATAGACTATTGTAGAGGTGAGAATTGTATGAATACATGCATGCACTATTTGCAAAACTTTATTTTTTTAAACTTCTTTTTTTAAACTAATGATAATAACATGATCAATTATATTTTAATATTTCCTTTTTTACAGGAAGAAATATAAAAATTTTAATACTATTATTACATCTACTACTATTACATCTTTTGGATCATTTTTACTCTTAATTTTCTATTGTTAAAAGAATTTTACAGTTTGGGATTAAAGAAATTATCACAGAATGATAAAAATTTAATTTCAAATTTTCTATTTTTAGTTTCAGTTAGCCCTAAATTTTGACAAATATTTGAATCTAAAAGATGCTATAAAAATTAAAAAAGAAAGAAGAAAATACATCTTAAGAATTATTTTATCGCTAATAATAATGATAAACATGAGGCAGCTAATCCAGTCGAGGCGCAATTAAACTACATGAAAGTTTGCGAGATCGAAAAATAGAGAAATGGAGCCATCGCTACTTGCATGGCCCTGTGGCGAAGGGCCCGGGAGACGGTGGCGCCAAGAAGATCCGTATCTTGGCGCGGGGCACCGAGAAAGGGCCCCCGGCTTCCCCCCACCAGCGGCAGCCCTCGTCAAAGATAACATCTGATTCCGAATCGTCCGTTCGCTCGTGTAGGCTTCCATGTAGCCCGACTCGTTTTCTCGGGCCCCGGTACGAATGTCATCGTGTTCGCTTCTTACAAGCGGAACGGGGCTTCGAAAGCGGCCCAACCCTCTCCCCCGCTCCCGTCAGCCCCACTACTACGTCGCGTCAGGTGCCTTCGTCAGCGCCGAATTAACGACTGTGCAGGCCTACGGCAGCATGCTATAGGAACAAGATCGAGATTAATTGCTAGCCATGAATCGAAAGAAAAGCCCCGGATCGAGTGATCTCGTATTCAAGCCCGATTGTCCCTGAGAGTTTCGTTAATTTATTGGTTAATGCTCGATATGTTTCATGGATGGGAATTTGATGAAGGGCCAATGATGCTACATGATGACAATTTAGTGTTCTTTTGAAGTTTGGTTGAGTGGATGTCGTGTGGAGTTTAAAAGTCAATATTATATATTCTTTAAAAGTCAATATTGACTCAACATTTCATTTATAGTTTTTTTTTCTAGTTAATATCTTATATAAGTTATCGAGCTTCATTTTTTAACGTTATATTTATGAAAAGGAATTCCAAGAATTGAATTTTTCTTCTCTTGATTCTCAATAAGAGAAATTTTTTGAAAAAGAATTTGAAAATTTAATTTGAAAAATAGTTTGTAATCTAATTCATAGATGGTAGTAATGTCTATTTCAAATGATTGACTTGAATATAGATGTAAATTATTGCGCATGCGCATAATAACTGCGACATCTATCTCATAAATAGTTATAGAATTTTGTGTGACGTAGTTTTCGTAAAGTAGTGAATTTTTAAAAGAAATTGTTCAAGAAATTTTAAGAAATAGATTTTCTGGATCTTAGTGTTGAATAAAATGCATTGAGGTTTATAAAAATCATATTGAAAAGGTACAGTATGAGTTTATAGATAATTTTATGCTTTCACTATCAAATCGTGAATTTTTCGAATTGTAGTAACATCTATTCAAAATGATTGTCTTGAATATAGGTGCAGTTTATTGTGCATGCGCATAATAACTGCGACATCTATCTCATAAATAATTACGGAATTTTGTGTGACGTAGTTTTCGTAAAATAGTGAATTTTTAAAAGAAATTGTTCAAGAAATTTCAAGAAACAGATTTTCTGGATCTTAATATTGAATAAAGTGCATTGATGTTTATAAAAATCATATTGAAAAGGTACAGTATGAGTTTATAGATAATTTTATGCTTTCACTATCAAATCGTGAATTTTTCGAATTGTAATAACATCTATTCGAAACGATTGTCTTGAATATAGGTGCAGTTTATTACGCATGCGCATAATAACTGCGACATCTATCTCATAAATAGTTATAGAATTTTGTGTGACGTAGTTTTCGTAAAGTAGTGAATTTTTAAAAGAAATTGTTCAAGAAATTTTAAGAAATAGATTTTCTGGATCTTAGTGTTGAATAAAATGCATTGAGGTTTATAAAAATCATATTGAAAAGGTACAGTATGAGTTTATAGATAATTTTATGCTTTCACTATCAAATCGTGAATTTTTCGAATTGTAATAACATCTATTTGAAACGATTGACTTGAATATAGGTGTAGTTTATTGCGCATGCGCATAATAACTGCGACATCTATCTCATAAATAGTTATAGAATTTTGTATGACGTAGTTTTCGTAAAGTAGTGAATTTTTAAAAGAAATTGTTCAAGAAATTTCAAGAAACAGATTTTCTGGATCTTAGTGTTGAATAAAGTGCATTGATGTTTATAAAAATCATATTGAAAAGGTACAGTATGAGTTTATAGATAATTTTATGCTTTCACTATCAAATCGTGAATTTTTCGAATTGTATATCTATTCGAAATGATTGTCTTGAATATAGGCGCAGTTTAATGCGCATGCGACATCTATCTCATAAATAGTTATAGAATTTTGTGTGACGTAGTTTTCGTAAAGTAGTGAATTTTTAAAAGAAATTGTTCAAGAAATTTCAAAAAACAAGTTTTCTGGATTTTAGCAGTGTTGAATAAAGTGCATTGAAGTTCATAAAAACCATATTGAAAAGATATAATGTGAGTTTATAGATAATTTTATGCTTTCACTATCAAGCCGCGAATTTTTCGAATTGCCCTTTTATGTTCCCACGTAACTTCACACGCCCAATAAATATTGTGATTTCAAAAGATTGAATTAATTATGAATTTGAAATATATTTGATAGAACTATATAATTATTACATTTATTATTATCGTATTGTTCTTAAATTACGATCAACGTATTATTTATCAAAGATGGAACTTACAGCCAGAGGCCGAAAAAAGCTTCGTAGGCGCGGTCAACAAAAAGTGAACACCGCTGGAAAAAATCAAGCATTTGTATTCCGCGGAGATTTTTCAACGGCGGCCGGACAGTTTTCTCATTTCGTTTATGGCCAGCCATAACATAACTCCGGGACCTACTACCGCCGCTCGACAAACACCGAAATTTCGAGCGGCAAAACACAAAATCAGACACGACTATGCGTGGGTGGAATGGAGTAGCATCCTGGCAACACTTTGCCAAGCAAGAAGACATCGCTCCGTTTTATTCATAACATTGTCTAGGTAATTATTAAATTCAAGATAACTGCGTAATTTATAGAAACAAATATTTCATAGTATTAATTTTTGTTAAATGATTGTATTTTGTGTGTTTTTTTTTTAAAATTATCTATCTAATGAAATTGAAGAATCACATTTGAACATACACAAGTTACTATTATTTCTATTTGAATATTTAATAATAAGTTTTTTTTTATATATTATACAGTATTTAAAAAAATATTAATCTAATTTTAATTAAATATTTTGTGGAACAATTATGATCATTATCGTTTTTCGGTGTTTTCTAGACTTATATTCAACGAATTCGAAATCATTAAACCTCTTCACTTACGAACAAATATCTACAATTTCATCATATAAATGTAAGTAATATTTTTTTTTTTTATAATATTCAGTTTCAATAGTATCAATAGTATAAAGTACTCCAACAATGGTGATTTTATGAGTAAATAAGGGGATAGTTATCGATATTTACACACACATTTCTATAATCGTTAACCAAAGAACATAATATTTTGAAAATATCAATCCACTCTTTTCACTTGACGCATCTCTCATTTCGCTTCCCATGACGAAAAATGTTTGTCACTAGACTAAACATTTTTGAAAATGAAACAGCTAGTTCGAAACGGAGACAGGTTCACGCTAAATGGCGGTCAGACGAGGCATGTCGCGCGCCACGGGGTTCCCGGTCAAAGGCGCCGGCGATCCTGCTAACCCCTTCCATTTCGGTCGGCCCTGTCACCCCTTTTCCCTCGGCTGGCATTCGTTTTCGGGGTCCCGGTATGCGGCCACGATATTCTAATGGCGTCAGCGCATGCGTTACGCGGCTGCTCGTCGCGGAACACCAAGATAACTTGATTT